TCACAGCAACATGGATGGACTATGACAGTATTATGTTAAGTGAAATAAGCCAGATAGAGAAAGTCACTCTGTATGACTCCACTCATATGTGGAAGATAAACAAACAAGTGGACAAAGAGAACAGATTAGTGGTTACCAGGGGGAAGGGAGATGGGGGGTGGGCACAAAGGGTGAAGTGGAGCACCTATAATATGACTTACAAATAATAATGTACAACTGAAATTTCACAAGGTTGTAAACTATCATAACCTCAATAAAAGAAATGCAAATGGTCTTTAAACATATGGAAACGTGCAAATTTACTCATTTTAAGAGAAATGAAAATTAAAACTACACTGAAATATCAGCTTGGAAAACATTCCAAAGTTTGACAACATACTCTATGGCGAGGCTGTAGTTAAGCAGGTAAAGCATGATGACACAACCCCAATGAAAGAGAAGCTGGCAAGTTTCTCACTTCCCCTAGAAGATTCCCACTTCTGGGAATCTATCCCAAAGATATGCTGCTAAAAATACAAAAAGACATATGTACAAAGCCATTCAATGCAGCACTATTTGTAATACCAAGACTGGAAATAACCCAAATGTCTATCGGTAAGGAACTGGCTGAATAAAATATGTTGTATACATTCAGTACTATATAGTGGTAAGAAGAAATGAGAATGATTTTTACATACTGATGTGGAATAATCTCTAGTATATATTAAGTAAAACAGCAAACTACAGAGCAGTTTTCATTATATCTCTACTTTTTGTATAAGAAGGATATGAACATGAATACATATGTACATATTTTTTTTATATTTTTTAAATGAATAGAAGAATAAAAAGTAGTAAAACTAGTTATGTATAGGGAGAAGAATAAAAAGGATGAATACTATCAGGTTGAATGTAGGAATGCTGTTATATAATTTTGACTTTGTAACTCTGTAGATATTTTATACAATTTAGAAATATATTTAAATCAAAAGAAAAATTCTAAAAATTAAAAATGAACTGAAACAAAGTGCCTAACTGTTGGTGGAAAAAGCATAAAGAAAACGGAATTCCTTTAAGTCATATTAAAATATTTTGACTGCAAACCCCAGTGGAATATATTTAAAGGCAAAAACCAGAAAGGTCTTAAACTGCACACTGTTATCCTGTTGATACTTAGAATACTGGCATTGTTATTTTGAAAAAATTATATAAATATTGTAGGATAGAAACAATAAGTCATGATGATATTAACATAATTACAAAACAACACATTTCCAAAAGAAAAGACACACGAGCATAGAATCAAAGTAGTAAAACCCTTGTAAATTTAAATTAAAATTGTGAATACCAGACAAAGCCATCTGATTTTCTTTTCTCTTCAAAAGATGTGTATTTGTTAGCTATGTCTGTGGAGAAGACCTAGAAGAAAACGATAACCTAGTATCAGTGAGCACCCCAGCACCCAGAAAGTGGTCTCTAAATATCATTAAAAAAAAAAGTGCTACTCAGAGAAATGGCAGATTGCAAGTTTGGGACAGAAAATGTGCACAAGGTACCAGGGAATGTTTCCAGATCAGAAAGCAAGGATTAGAACTGTCAAAGATACATGATATTACATCAAAAGAACACAGGAACCAATCCGAAAGAACTCTCACTGCTCTTGAATGGGGCAATTTGATGATCAAATGAATGATGACAGCAACAGATTCAAAGTCATCAAATATATACACATAATATTTTTACATCCCTAAGTTAATAATATTTAAAATAAAACAAATCGACTTCCTAAATGACAGAGTACACCTCAGTGACTCCACTCTTCCAGAAAAGCTGCAAAATACTGGCTAAATGATGAAAATCAACGACTTCAATGTTCTGAAATTAAATGAAGGCACGAACAAACTGAAAAGCTCTATTCAAGACAAGCTACTGAACCTTTGTTAGAACAGTGGTGTTGTGGCATTTTAAGTTGGAGCTATTCCCATCCTTCATCCCTTCCCAGTTCAAAATAGAAAATTTTAGAATTGAAAATACAATAACCAAAAAACCCCCCAAAACCCTCCATGGATAAGTTCTACAGCAGAATGGGTAGGACAGAGAAAAGAATTACTAAAGTTGAAGAAAGAGCAATAGAAAACACCCAATTTAAACAACAGATAGAAAACATCTTTTAAAAAAATGAAAAAAGCCTCACTGAGCTGTGGAACAATAACAAAAGATCTAACGGTGGTGTCAGCAGAGTCCCAGAGAAAAGACAGAGAACAGGACTGAAAAAGTACTTGAAGAAATAATGGCTGAAAATTTTGCAAAAGACATAAGTCTATGGATTCAAGAAGCTAAGAAAACCCCAAACAAGATAAACTCAACGAAATCTGTGCAAAGATACACCAGAGTCAAACTTCTGAAAACTAAAGGCAAAGAAAGTCTTGAAAGCGGCAAGAGAAACAACACCTCCCTTGAGAGGGTTGGAGGAAGAGGGGATTCCAATGACAGCAGTTTTCTCATCAGGCACCAGAGAGGTCAGAAGGCACAATACTTTTCAAGAGATGAAAGAAAAAAACTTTCTACTCAGAATTCTGTATCTAGCAAAAATATCCTTCAATAATGAATGGGGAAATCAAGACACAGATGAAGGACAACTAAGAAATTTTACCACCAGCAGACCTATCCTAAAAAAATGGCTAAAGGAAATTCTATAAATAGAAATGAAATGACAGAAGGAATCTTGGAAAATCAGGAAGGAACAAAGGACAAAGGAAAGAGTAAAAATACTGAAAATAGAATACATTTTTCTTCTCCTCCTGAGTTTTCTAAATTATGTTTAAAAGCTGAAGGAAAAACGTTAACAATGAGTGATGTGGTTCTCAAAGTATGTAGAGGAAATATTTAAGACAACTGTATTATAAATAAGATAAAGAGATAAAAGTAAGCAAAGTTCTACACTTCACTCAAACTAATAAAATGATGACATGAGCAGACTGTGAAAAGTTATGCATATATAATGTAATACCTAGAGCAACCACTAAAAAGCTATATAAAGAGAGATACTCAAAAACACTATAGACAAATCAAAATGGAATTCTAAAATATTGTTTAAATAACCCAGAGGAGGGCAGGGGGAAAAAAAAAAAGAAACAAAAAACAGGGAAAACTAATGACGAAAATAGCACACTTGAGCCTTATCAATAATTACATTAAGTGTAAATGGTCTAAATACACCAGTTATAAGGCTGAAATTCTTTTAAATGATTATGTACTGTAACGAAGTTTACTTCAAATATAATGATATAGGTAGGCTGAAAGTAAAAGAATGAAAAAGATATACCATGCAAACATTAACCAAAAGAAAGCAGAATAGGTAAATCCCTAGAGACAGAAAGTAGATTAGTGGTTGCCAGAGCTGGATGGAGCAAGAAAGGACTGCTAATAGTTTCCTTTTGGGAGTGATGAAAATGTTCTGGAATTAGGTAATAGTGATGGTCACACAACTTTGCAAACATACTAAAAACCACTAAATTGTGTACTCTAAGGGGCGAATTTTATGGTATGTGAATTCTATCTCAAAAAAGAAAAGTACCTCAATAAAGTTGTTTTTAAAAAACTTCAATGGTAAAAAAAATCATTATTAATTTAAAAGAAAATAATATAATTACTAAATGAGCCAAAGACATGGAAGACATTGTATTGAAGAGGACATAGGGATGGCAAGTAAGCACCTGTTCAACATCACCAGCCATTGGGGAAATGCAAATTAAGACCAGGACAAACTCTCATTACACACCAATCAGAGTGAGTTAAATAAATATAGTGACAATACCAACTGATGTAGAGGATGTGAAGAAACTAGATCCCTTGTACACTGCTGGTGAGCGCGTAAAATGGAACAGCCACTCTGGAAAGTAGTTTGGCAGTTTCTTTATTAAACATATGATCCAGCAATTGTGCTCCTGACCATTTATCCTAGAAAAATGAAATCTCATGTCTACGATTGTTTACAGCAGCTTTATTTGTAACAGTCAAAAACTGGAAGCAACTGAGCCAGCCCTGATGGCCTAGTGGTTAAAGTTTGGCGTGCTCTGCTTCGGCAGCCTGGATTCAGTTCCTAGGAGCAGAACCACACCACTCATCCGTCAGGAGCCACGCTGTGGCAGTGGCTCACACAGAAGAACTAGAAGGACTGCAACTAGAATATACAACTATGTACTGGGGCTTTGGGGAGGGGAAAAAAAAACTAGAAGCAAGCAAAATTTACTACAATAGATGAATGGTTAACTGAACTGTAGTACATCCATGGAATACTACTCAGCAATAAAACGGAACAAACTATTGACATATGCAAGAATTTGAAGGCATCTTAAGGGCATTATTTTGAGTGAAAAAAACCAATCTCAAAAAGGAACATACTGTGTGATTCTATTTATGTAACATTCTTGAAATGACAAAATTATAGAGATGGATGGCTGTCTGGGGTTAGGGAAAGCTAGGCAAAAGAGGGGTAGGTGTAACTATGAAGGAGTAGTAAAAAGGAGCTCTTTGCAATGATGGACTAGTTCTGTATACTGACTGAGGTGGTGGTTACAGGAATCCATGTGATAAAATGACATGCAACTACATACACTTTATACATATGTCAATTTCCTGGCTTTTACATTGTAAAATGTAATGAGATAAAACTAATGGCAGAAACTGGGTGAAGGGTATATGGAACCTGTCAGTATTATCTTTGCAACTTCCTATGAATCTATAATTATTTCAAAATAACTCTAAAGTAACTATCAAAATTAAAATGTTATTTTTTTTTAAAAAAAGAAATCTGTCCATAAAAGTTATTCCTTTTTTTTAGCAAACATTATGAGTACCCCCTCGTGCCAGGGTCTCGGCCAGGAACAGAGAAAGATAACTCATGTCTTCAAAGAGCTTCCCACTTAGCAGCAGAAAGACAAGTCAGACAATATAACACCAGAAAGAAATATATTCTGCACTCCAAAGAAGGAATTCTGCTTGGCAAAACCAGTACCTACCTGCATCAAGCTGCTGCTCCCCGTTCATTTCCACAGCACATGGGTTATCTCCTCCCCACACAAAGGACTGGCCTTATGGTTCTGCTATGATCTGAAGGTTACTTGCAGGTCTCAAGCATCTGTTTAATGGGCATCCAAGGGTCTAAACGGAAGTGCTGAAAAAATCAAGGACAGATCAACAACCTTAAGCTCAAGTGTGTTTACTCATTCATAAGACATGGCATTCTAGTGAGCTGAGAGCAGAGAAAACAAAAACACACTGTCAAAATAGATGGGATTAGAGAAAACTGACACCTTTTCTAATTTTGAAGAGAGAGTGTGTGTGTGTGAGTGTGTACAGAGCATGCTATCAAAATCTTGAGAACATAGCTAAAAATCACAAAAAACTAACATGTGTATGAATCACTACTCTTTAAACTTAGATTATAATACCTAACATTATGATTCCTATCCACAAAAACTCCAATTCCTAATGAATCCCTGGGGGAAAGAAGTTAGCTTTCAATGCTGTCTCACCCAATGATTAAGATTCATGATACAGTATATTACTTTATCTAGGTTTCCACTCTATTTATCTAGAATATTACGCAGAGCCAAAAAGTATCAACTATATTAGTCTACAATTACACTTACAAAGAGAACCCCTCCAAAATAAACTCTGAATCCATTTATTCTTTCCTTAAAATGGCTTTATTGTAATATAATTCACATGCCAAAATTTCCCATTTTAAGTGTCCAATCCAATAATTTTTAGTAAACTTACAGAGTTGTGTAAACTATCACTATAATCCAATTTTAGAGTATTTCCATCATGCCAAACAGAATTTTTTCCCATTTGTAGTTCCTTCCCATTCCAGCCCTAGTCTGAGGCAACCACTAACCTGCTTTCTGTCTCTAGAGATTTTGCCTTTTCTGGACATTTCACATAAATGGAATAATACAATATGTGGCCTTTTGCATGAGGCTTCTTTTACTTTGTATGTCTTTGAGGTTCATCCATGTTGCTATTTATTCTTGCTTTACATACACGTAAAACAATCTCAGATATTGCCTTTATAGTGCCTAATAGGTTAGAAAGAGTAAATGAAAAGGGAACAGGAGCTGCTACAGGAAGGCCTGCTGTGTACTAACTGCAAGGGCAACAATACAGAGAACTGTGAAGTGGGGTGGGCATGCAAGAGTCACAGCTGTAAGAGTGACAGTCCACAGAACCAAGCAACTCTACGCCTCTCAGAAAGATTCTGAGTGTGTATTAGAGACTTCAGCAATCTATTCTCATTAAAAAACTTTAAACACTAAACAAAAGACAGTTTAAATTTTAATATACTCCTTGAAAAGGCATAAGCTAGGTAAAGTACAACAGTGTCAGATGGGTAATAGGGATACCCAGATTCTAGTTCCAGCTCTACTGATAACTAACTATGTAATCTTATAGAGAACACCTATTATGTCAATCGTTTTAAACTATAAAATGAGTGGAAGATCTTTTTCAGATTTTAAAATTACATTTCATAATGAGCATAGAGAAAGTCTTAAAAACTTAAAATTATGGCTATCTCATTTGACATAACTGCCAGTTATCCCAAATTGTATCATACAACATAAGCACTGGAGCCCATGGTTTCACAGATAAGAACTGAACAGAAACTTGGTAGTGAGATGTAAAGCCTCTAAACATGCTCTCTTCTCTCAGTTTACTTTTCTTCTCAAGCCCAAAACATTCAAACTGTACTATTCCACAGCCTAATTCATTCACTCCCCATATTTATCAAACACCAGCTCATTACCATCCAGTTTTCTAGGGGATGAGGGTAAAGCAATCGAGAGAGACATGGTTCCTGCTTTCATGAAGTTTATTTTCAACAGAGAGGAGACACATTAAGCCAACTTTAATTATTTAAAGTGCTATGAAAGAAAAGTAGTGGGTGCTAAGATAGAATATAATGGCAGACCTAACCTAAACTGAGACGTCACTGACACAGTCCCTGACAAAAATGGTATTTAAGCTGAGACTAAGGGGGAAATAGCAGCTAAGCCTAAAGAGGAAAAAAGGAGAGAGTAGTCCAGGCCCAGGGAACAGAACATACAAAGGCTCTAAGGTGGGAAGGAAGTGAAAGAAGGCCCCTATGACTGGAGCATGGGAACCACAGCATAAGGTGCACACAAGAAAACCGGACAGGAAGAGAAGGAATAACAGCAGTGACCATTTATCAAGGATATGCTGTGTGCTGGGCACTGTTTCAAGCACACAAACATATTAACCCATGCAATACCCCCAACAACTCCACAAGGTGAGAGTCATCATAATGAGGAGACAGGCACAGAACAAGTGCTTCACCTGCCCAGGGTCCCACAGTTAGGAAGTAGCAGAACCAGGTTTCAAACCAAGCAAAGTGTCTAGATTCCATGTTTTCAAACACTCTACTGTACTGACTCTCAAAGGGAAGTAGCCAAGAGTTTTTTTAAGCAGAGAAAGGAAATGATTAAATCTGTGTTTTAAAAAAGATCACTGTAGGGGCTGGCCCCATGGCCGAGTGGTTAAGTTCACGTGCTCCACTGCAGGCGGCCCAGTGTTTCGTTGGTTCGAATCCTGGGTGCGGACATGGCACTGCTCATCAAACCACGCTGAGGCAGCGTCCCACATGCCACAACTGGAAGGACCCACAACGAAGAATATACAACTATGTACCGGGGGGCTTTGGGGAGAAAAAGGAAAAAAATAAAATCTTTAAAAAAAAAAAAAAAAAAAAGATCACTGTGGGGGCCAGCCCTGTGGCCGAGTGGTTAAAGTTCCACACACTCCACTTCGGTGGCCCAGGTTCGTGGGTTTGGATCCCAGGTACGGACCTACTCCACTCATCTGCCAAACTGTGGAGGTATCTCATGTACAAAGTGGAGGAAGAGTGGGACAGCTGTTAGCTCAGGGCTAATCTTGATGTTAGCTCAGGGCAATGGATGTTAGCTCAGAGAGAATCTTCCTCACCGAAAAAAAAAGATCACTCTGGACCCAAATAGAGAAATCATAAAGGAATGTCAGCAAAGACAATGTAAAAGTATAAAATTTCTACACGGCAAAGGACAGCATAAACAAAACTCAAAGCCAAACGAGATGGGTGAAAATAAAAATTCCCAACATATAAGATAATGGGTTAATTTCCATATATGTACAAGCTCCTGTAATTCAACAAGAAAAAAAAGAAACAAAAAATGAGCAAAATATATAATTAATCCACATTTTAAAAAATCAGAGTTAACACATAAAAATGTGCTCAATTTCATTAGTAGTGAGGAAAATAAGAATTTTTAATTATTTACTATATTTTTCACCTTTCAGATGGGTAAAATTTTTTAAACTAAAAATATCCAGTGTTGGTAAGGAAGTGGAAGAACGGGAGAACTTGAGAGTATTTAGTATCACCTTTCTGGAGCTATTTAATGGTAAATAATTTAATCTATACAGATTTAAAAGACAAACTCTTTGAGCAGTATTTCTACTTTTATGAATATTTCATACACAAAACATGTATGGAAGGCTTCATAAGCAATGATATTTGCTGTAGTATTATCTACAACAGTTATAAACCAGAGACAGCCTATATGTCCACAAAATGGGAATGAAACGGCAACACAGATTATGATATACTTATAGAAGGAAATACCCTACAATCATTAGAAGAATTTAGGTGGATCCATAATAGCACATGGGAATGTTTTCTATATTGCTGAGTGTAAAAAGCAAGTGAAGGACAATTTATAGTAACTTTTAAAAATCCTGTGTCCTTGTTTACTTGGCTATGTGACTTTTTACAAATGACTTATTTGTGCCACTGGCATCATTTGTAAAAGGGGGTATGAGTACTGTTCCTACCTCACATAACTGCTATAGGTAAGTGAGATAATCCATGAAGAGTACTTAGCATAGAGCTGGCTACATAGTAAATGCTGAGTTAATGTTAACTGTTACGCAATGTTGACAGATTCAAGTTCCTATGGCACTGACTTAGTGGATCATCTCTACATACAAAGTCTGCACACTTCATTATGGGTGTGTGTAACACAGTGAATGCTAAATATCTGTTGGGGCACTAGGCTTTGGAGGTGTCATCTACTGCTTATGTCCATAAACTTTTGGAACACACCAATGTATTCTGTGCAGAGTGCCACATACTGCAAAATAATAATAATAATAATAATAATAATAATAAATGCAGCATCGAAGCCAAAGAAACAAGGGTTGGAGAAATGAAAGTCTTATGTAGCTGAAAGCTAAGGCTGTGCCATTGTGTCAATCTTACCACCTCACTTAGATTTTAACCAATGAACAATTAGTTTATCATCTTAATAGAATGATGAGAAATAAACTGATGAAGTCTTTTGCTGGGGAACATCTGTCACATCTCTCTCTTTATTGCTAGCCTGTAGTGTTTTTTATGCAGTGAGGAAAAAAGAGTAAAATATCCAGGAGCTTAGAATATGGAAATTTATTCACTTTTCATTTACTTCCTTTTATTTCATTTATTTCCTATACATATTAAATTGTTTTACTGTCTTCATTTAGTTTATCATTGATTTTGGTATTATAATTTCCCTTGTGGTGACCAGAATACATTAAGAGTTATTTATTTAAATAAGTTCTCATGAACTAATTGATCTGGACCTTGCTCATCTTACTCAGAATATTTCAGTGAACTAAATGAGAGCATAGATATTTACATGGGGTTCTAATAAGACATACTGAAGACAGTATGAGCCATGCTAAAATTTGAAACACTTCTAATAGCTATAAATAACAATTTTAAAAGCAAAAGCTAATTGGACAAAACAAGCTTTTGATGTCAAACACGAAAAAAAATAAAACCAAAATGAAACTCAGGCAGAATGAAACTGAACTGAATCCCCTATTTCATTTTTAGAGATACATCAATGTAAAAGAAAACCACCATGGAATAATTACCTTTAAACAGATCTTTTAAAAGGTCTAAAAGTCATCTGCATAACACAAAGCTACATGGTGCTTCCTCTTATCTCATTTTAGTTTACACATGCAGTCCATGCTCTAAGTCATACTACATGGCTGCAAGTTAATGCACTTTGTTTTCAAGGCTAAGATAAAACACTGAGTAAGAGCATTACACAGGAAAATTGCAATAATTCA